TGCACTTGTGGTCTAAGACCGGATATTATATATGGAAGCATCCACACTTTCTTACTTTGTCTTGTCATATTAGTTATTATTGTATTAAGTTTGAACGGAAATTGTACCGAGTCCTAGCGAGAGGTGGGCAGGCGTCCCGCGGATACTCTTTGGTTCACCTTAGGGAGAAGTGGGGGCGTCACAAAAATGACTACAAAATTATACGGCACGTATTTTCTATAATTTCATACTATTTGAAGGGGAACAATTGCCTGTCCTCAAGTGCACGTGATCAAAGTAATAAGTGCATAGATTGATTGGTAATTATTCATGAAAATTAATTACTCATTAGAAATTATAAATTTCAGTCTTGCTGTCAGGAAATATTCTTTTACATCATTGAGATTTGTAAGTTAGAAAATTGATTAAATCTAAGATAACAGTATATTGGCATGGCACATTAGGTGGACCAATATATTATCGTAGGAATGATAATTAACAAAAAAATATCATAAGCTATTTATCAAATTTATATGTAATAACATGGAAGTGGATTAATATATAAAGGCATCAGATCTCCTGCCACTACTTAAGTAGATATTGAGCGGGTTGGAATTCTCTAATCAAAGCTATTTCACAAACACCGAATCCAGATATGGCAAAATCACATATACCAAAACCAGTTGGCCAGTCCAACATCTCTTATAGCAAAAGTGCAACAAGAGGGAAAAAAAAGATAATCAAGAGATAAAGTATACTTAACTACTGCACTATACTTAGCCACAAGCACATGTCAGAAGGGAAAAACTCTTATAGCAAATCCACAAAGAATAACAACATTATTGGTGGCAAAACTGAAATCCGATACAGTAGACAACACGGCAGAGGGGAAAAAACTCTTGGAGAGAGTAAACAATAAACAACAACATTATTATAACCAAAACTAAAATCCAATACAATTAAACATCTATAAAAGTGAAAAGTGGAAAATTAAAAGGCAAAGCTATCGGACATACCTGTCTCAGCAAATTTCCTGATGAATCTCTGCTCTAAGAAGTTCTACAACTATTTCCACAAATATCCCATGAAAGAAAAGGTTTAGATTTTGGCTATAAGGAATTAAACTAAAAATGCATTAACAAGAAACGACAAACTATTGAATTCCTAATAGCTAACATTTAATCAAAATCATCAAATTCCTTGTGATCTTTGAAAGCAAAATTAAAGATGGAACCAGCCTAAATTGAAACCAGACAGTATGCTTGCAAGAAGTACATTGCAATGAGTCATTTACATAGCCTTCTAATACATACGAAAGACTAAAAAACACCAACAGAATTTAAAATCGAAAAAATCAAGAAGACCCAAACGGAAGAATGCTGACAATTAAACCTTTCACCAATATTGTAAGAATGAGATAGCCATTACCAGAGCATAATTCAATCTTGATTTCAATACTCACAAACTCAACTCTTTTAATTGAATGGTAAATTAATGTAAGGGTTAAATGTGTTAACAGGAAATTACCAAAAGCTGTATGTATTTGTACCACATGCATCACTAATTTGAACCAAGCACTCATATTACTAAAACAACCCTCCATGGTTAAACATATACCAAAGACACATGTCCCACCAAGCAGTCAATTGCAGATGACAATTGTTAGTGAAGTTAGTGTTAAAACAATAGTGGATAATTTCAAAAACCTTCCTTGAGGTTTCTACAATTTCACTGAACTCTCCTGAAATTTGAAAAATTACACTACCTCCTTTGATTTGATAATTTTAGTAACAAAACCTTAAAATAATATTGACTTGGTCAAATTTTTAAATAAATACCCAAAAATGCTCTTGTTTAATGAGTTTTAATTTACTTTCCCATACAATTATAAGATTATCTAGTATAATTATAAGAAAATGTGCCAAATTTTTCATATACATACTTACTATTTGATAAATAACTATAATAATAATTTTATCACTATGATAGAATATTTTGATGGTATTTTATTATAAATTTAAATTTATAAGATAGAAAAGAAAATGTTGAAATAATTCATTTAGACTTTATAAATTTTTCAAGTAATGAGATTATTATAATTTAGTAGTGATTTTGGGTCATTTCCTTTTGATTTATTGTTAATTTTAATATCAAAAAATGGAAAACAAATATCAGCAAAAACATTGGATTGCATATAAAGTTAATTCATCAAAAAACAAAATCTTTAGTTTGATATTTGGTTACAATAAAATCTAGAAGTGATAGTGGTAGTTCTACAGTTTTATTGAAAAAAAATTAAAAAAGGAATAAAAAGAATAAAAGAATAAAAAATAATTTTAAAAGTTATTCTAAATATTAACATACCAAACAGGAAATTTTCATTAAAATATTTAAGGATAGTATTGTTATTTTAAATGACAAGAGGGGCATGTATAATTTTTAAAATCTTAAATGAGCTAAATAAAATTGTTAAAAACCTCATGGGAGGTTTTTGAAATTATCCCAAACAACAAACCAATCAAAGAATGCCAAATTAGTTTAAGTTATTCACGTGATACTTCTTGGTGAATGTAGTTTTAAGTTTTTATATAATAGTTAGACTAGCAGAATTCAGTCTTAAGTTATTCATGCCCACTTAGAATTTCAAGAACAATTCAATAAACCATTCTTTCACATAAAATCAATAAGGAGTCAAAGTAGAATACATGCCCACTTATGTATCCTACTAAATATTAGAGTAAATCTTAATCCTATCACTAAATACTAATTAGTTAACTTAACTATAACTGTAATTGGACGTAAAATTTTAATGGAAGTTGATACATTGAAGTTTTGCTTAATAATTAAATTTGAAGTTCTTATATATTTCAATGTTGTTTAAGAGTTGAAATTATGAGTTAGGACTTAGAATTATGAACCTTGTTTTTTTTCATATCATATTTGTTTGAGTTGATTGAATTTTATTGGAAAAACATATAATCGGTTCATAATTCGAATCCCCGATTATTGGCCAATGAACACCCATAAACATAAGGGCTAGATTTATTTGACTTGGCGTGAATAAAAGGCAAAAGGAAAAAAAACGATGTGCAATGGCAAGAGTAGCAATGTGCAAGAAATGTTTTGTAGGTAACAATAGCGAAATTGTAATTAGAGTTTAATTGAAATTTATCTAAAGGTTGAAATCTATTATTTGTCCGTTAAGCCTAATCTAAGAGTCATGGTTTAGACAGCACATCCACTCAACCAGATAATAAGTAAATTAATTATAAGTTAATTAAGTTAAGATTAACCCATTGGGGCTCAAAGAACTAAATAAAGGTCACATTGTTTTTTCTTTTTTTTTTCAGTAAAGGCCACCTTTTTAAGGGCTAAACAGTTATAATATTATGAATACAATTTATTCATTAGGCTGAAATCTTTTGAGTTCATCAATCCCATTAACAAAGACCAACTTTGGATAGAGTATTATCTGAAATATTATTTAGAATAATTACTGTAATACTTTTTGTGATGTGATGTATGTGAGATAAAAAAGTGATTGGAAATATAAAAAGATAGGTTAAAAAATGTGTTTATGATGCAAGCGAAATATTATTTAAGATATTTTTCCTATCCAAACACTCCTCATTTGTTCTGAATACAGAGATGTAACAAATTCTGAAGGATTTCCTTTGTCGTAGAGAAAAGTGCATGGTCGTCTGAGGGTTAAGACTCCTGATGTCACTAAGCTGAAAATGCTGGGATTTTGAATAATTATCTGCTTTTATCATATAGCATATAGATGCTAGTATGCTGCTACTAAGTTAAGGAGCGATAACTTTTGTGCTTTGGCTCACACTTGAAATAGATCTAATTGTCAGAAATACAATGGTCTAGATTATAGCACACATCTCACTAAATGGTGTTGCACAATCTGATTCACTAGATTTTTGAAAGTCGATTCTACCAAGTTTTGACCAAGATAACGTATCAATAATCAAAGTAGAGAAGGTGTAGCGGAAAAATACTGGGATGTGATGTGTTTCGGTACGGCGCCCTTGTACTGGAACCTCGCCATGATGTGAGATTTTTCCTGTGGTAGATACTCAACTAAAACCCCTCTTAGACGTTCTTGGATCATCAATAACAGGATTTGATTCCAAGGGCCTGCAGCAAATGAAACAGAATTCTTCCTGATGAATAATTCTTCCATGGTAGAATAGAATGAGGTAGCAGAAAATGGTGCATGCTGGCAATAGTAGATTCTTTTCTTTGCAGGTGGTAAGCCTCAATGTTAGCATCCTTGACCGAAGTAATCTCTGTAGGTGCAGATCATTTCTTGGAATTCATTCATTTCGTGGATGAGAAAAACGGGGATATTCATTTCGTGGAATTCATTCTAATCTCCGAAGTGGGAATATTCTCTCTCCTTCTGGATGGATTTGCAGAACTTGACATTAGATTGGTCGGAGGTCTTTGTAGATTAATTTGTTGTGCGATTGATAAACTTTCGAGTTGTATGATCTTCTTCCCCTGATCTTTCAAATCGTTGAAGGTTAAAAATATTGAGTTCCCCCCGCGGCCCTTTTATTAAACAAGCAAGTAGGCTCGAGGAGATTAGAAAGCTAGAGAGAGGAGTATGTATATTTGTACATATAAGCTCTCTTCTAGTATTTTAGAATTTTAAAAGAGCCAAAATTGAAAGATGGTTTAATTGAATTCAGAGTTTTGAAAAAGGTAAAGAACTAAAATACAAAAATGGTTTGTAACATTAGTTATTGGAGAAACAGAACTTGAAATTTTTTTTTTAACTGAATATTGTGTCAAGGGTACAAATATGAAATTTGGGATTTATTTATTTTCATTTATGAACCATGACAAGCATTTTAAGATGAAGCAAAATAAAGTATATAATGAGGGCTCAGCACTGCTTACAGAAATGCAACATATAATCTTAGAAAAAACAGCAAACGTTATAACATAGTAGTATAATGTAAGTTTTTTTTCGTAAATATATATATATATACACACACACATATATACCATGACAAGCATAATGAGGGTTCAGCACTGCTTACAGAAGTGAAACCGAAGACACCCAATAACATTCTGGAGTTTCAAGAGGACAGCACCATCCTTTAATTTACAGCTTGTTCTCGTAAAAATTTCCCCAGCCAAGTCAAGTTTCCCTGAATTTCTTACACATGGTTTCAGGTAAATTTAATCTACTGCAAATATGGTACCTTCCTAACTCATCAATACATACTGATAAAATTCCTACCCATAAATCATTGATTTCAACTTTTGCATAGACTACGCAAGAAGAATCTTCAGTGATCTTGTCTCACTCCAATTTTCACTTCTGTGACTTCTTCCACTTCTTGTGGTGCTTCCCGTGAGTTAGCGCACTGCTGGTAAACAACACATAAATCAATATTCGGGGAGGAAAAGGCGGTAGAGAAAATCATAATGTGGTGTGGTTTGTGTTCAATCATAATGTGAAGTGACAATTTCAAGAATTAGATACTCACCTGTAACTCCTTGTAGATGGTCTTGGCTCATCCCTTAGACTGATTCGGGCAAGTTTACTTGCCAAGTGTTCACTTGGATCATCACCAGTAACAGATTTTGATTCCGATGGCCACGTAGCTGGAACTACTAAATTCCTGCAGCAAATGAAGCCTTTGTATTCAGCTCTTCTTAACTTTGGCTAGACAACCTATTAAAGTTTCTACAAGATGGTGATCCAGAGTACGCACTTAATACTGAGAATGGCGATGCAAACAGAGATTAGTGACCGAAAAAATGGGTGTGAGAGGAAAAGTTAAAAAGATAGAGAAACCAGTTTGTGACTTTATGCCAGAATCAGCTGCTCCTCTACGATAGAAATTGAGAGGCCGAAAGAATGCCATTCGAACAGAATGTACTAATGCAAAACATTAACTATGACAAGATTATAGATTGTAAGGTTACCCTTCCATCCGTTTGACTTTGCAACGATTCACAGTGTTCAGTGTGTAGCTTCCAAATATCTTGTCAAGTTGCTTTGCCAAGTTTGGTATCTCCGAGTCTGCCAAAATATCCCAAACTTTTATAACTTGCATGTCAATTGAAATGAACTTCTGGATGCCGACTGTCCACATCAGTTTCAGACCCTTCACATCATACATCTCCAACAACAGGGAAGAAGTACCATTAATCTTGACCAAGATAACGTATCAATAATCAAAGTAGAGAAGGTGTAGCGGAAAAATATTGGGATGTGATGTGTTTCGGTACGGTGCCCTTGTACTGGAACCTCGCCATGATGTGAGATTTTTCCTGTGGTAGATAACCTACTCAATTCTACTAGTGTCACTTGGAGGCTGGCGCCAGCCGCTCGGAAGCTTCACTAGAAGAGAAAGAACTTCCTTGCAGATCTCAGGATCCCGAATTCTTGCAAGTGATTTTGAAAAATCATCGCTGAAGCAAACCTATTGTATAAACCCAAGGATAGTTGAATCAGTCAGCAACACCACTTGTAAAAGGAAATTATAGCGAGCATTAAATAAAAACTACCAAAAACAGCAACAAACTAGCCCACCAAGTTATTACTTTAGTATGACAACTGAGACATACTTTCCACCTCGCTGTTTTGAACAGCACTGAGTCGGTACTGAGTAGGTTATCAAATTGGCCTAACTCAATTAAGGCAGAAGAAATTGCTTGAACCAAGATCTTGCTATCTCTAGCATTATGGAAACAACCCCGAGCCTTTGTGTCCAATACTAGTTTCTTCCAAATGGAGTGACTATTCACGAGGGTTGCACTATTTCCCAGTATCCAAAGGCAGTGCCTGTAAATCAAGCCATAAGTGCTTTTACAAACAACGTGCTTGTGCATCATCTTGCACGCATAAAATAGAGAGGACCTATAAAATTCATTTATGTTCAAGTTTCTCTTACATTAAATTCATACCTCGCTCGAGTGAGAGCCACATTAGTCCTTTGATGGTTGGAAAGGAAGCCAACTGATCCACCCCCATTACACCGCACTGTTGAAATAATTATTACATCTTCTTCCCCTCCTTGAAATCCATCGACAGAACGAACATTAACAGAGAAGTCACTGCCTGTGTCCGTACTATATTTCTGGCCAAGTTTTTCCTGAATTGCAGAAACTTGAGCTTTGTAGGGTGATATGCAGCCAACACGGAGCTTCTGCTTTGAAATGAGAGACCCTATTGAGAAAGGGACGATGAGATATCAGCTTAGCTGCATACAAGTCCAAAGAAAAAGGAGAAAAAAAAATATGATACTCTAGAGTTTGCAGGGAAGCATACTTTTATGAAGGTTAGCAATGATCTCGGCAACTACATAAACCTCCACGAGATTTTTCCTACTATGCTTGTCATCAAACTGCTCTTTACCAGGGTTGATGTCAATGAATGAGTATGATCCAAAAATGGACCCTTCCAGGAAGTGCTTCTTGTATTTTCCATCCTTCACATTGGGACCATCCATTATTAGCTTTGCATAGAACTCCCTATTTGGAAATAAGCTGATCGATGGATGCATCCTGTACTGGACATTGAGAAGGTGCTTTTGATGTCCTAACATCACTAGCCTTTCAAATAAGCTTCTTCCAAAGTTGGCCTTCTCACATATCTGCTTACGACATACCAGAAGAGTCAGAAACAGAAACACATTAAATTTCTAAAAATAGACGAGTAAAACATGTTCAATTCGACAACCTGGCTTTGAACCATTGCTGGTAGTTGTTTCTCATCTCCAATAAGTATAGCATGGCGGATACCAGGTATCTGAAGGGGTATAGCGGACTCGCATTCCTTCAACTGTGCAGCTTCATCAATGACCAATAATTCCAGCGGTGCTATTCCTTCCACATGCAACTTAGCTGAGGTTGAAGCAGTACAAAAGACCAAGAAAGATGTCTGTAAACAGAAGCTTCTAATTTGATAATCTTCAGAGAAGCTTGGAAGAGAGATTTTTTCTTGAAGATGTTTCAGGTTTTGCAGGCATCCCATTCTAGGCCTTCGCAATTCAATGAAGCGTCTTTTCCTTCTTTCTGCAGTTTCAATTCCATAGATGACTTCTCTTAGCCCTTCATTAGCAGAAGTGACCTTATGTATCAAAGATCCAAGAGCTTGTAGCATGCCAGAAACCCTTTTCATATTCTTTGCTACCTCCACTGGAATGAAAGATGTAGGCATGTGGGTGTACAAGCTTGTTATACAAAATATTAGCTGAGTCCCAATCAATTTAAATTCCTTGATAAAAAACTCATCAAATGACGGAAGAGTAACCGACTTATTGTCTGGCTCTCTTTTGTTTGTCTTGCTACCAGCAATATTTTTCTCCTCCATGTTGTGCTTCGATTTCTTAGAAGCTGCTTTGTCCTTTGATTTTTTCTTCTTGTTCTCCTTTAAAGTTTGAACAATAACTTTCTTAACAGATCATAGGCTTATTCTTTTTTTGAGCCTTGACTGTCAATCTCGTCCACTTTGCCCTGGCTGTCACTTATATTAGTATTTTCAAATAGTCCTCCTTCCACCTCACCCTCCTCATCACTGGGACGTTCTTCATCATCACTTTGATCCTTTTCCCTCTCTTTCTCCAAATACAGCTGATACTGTTTCTCAGGATCTTCAAGCAGCCGTATCATAGATTCAGTACTGACTTTCCACCCAGAAAAGTCCTGCCCCCTTTTCTAAATCATCGTTGGTAGAAGTTGTCGAGTTGGCAGCCATTTCCAAATTGGCCGTAGCAGATTGTTTGTTTCTCCTTAAAGCTTCAATTACTATTAATCTACCCACAATCAAGATTGCTCCAGCTGCTGTTAAGTCTGCAACTAATCCAATTTTCTTTGCTTTACTCCCACGCGTCTTTGCTATATCGAGGTTCGAGCTAAACTCCCATGATTCAAGTGTGTGTCTTTCAACATACGGACATGTGGCAGCTGAAAATCCAACTGCAGCCCATTGAGGAAGAATCTCCTTCAAATTTATCTGATAAGAAATACTAGAGTTAGGACTTGATCCATAACTCCAGAAAACACTCAGATTTTTCGTAGAAGAATTGTAGATAATCCAAGCATCAGCAGGGTCTTCCCTGCGCAAGCTGGCATTCCAGGACGTGGTTATAGAGGAAGTAATTGAATTATTGTTGATACCAACATGTTCAAAAGGAGGATCCCATTCTGGATTTGCATACGAATCAAATTCAATCAAAACTATTGGGTTGTCGGAGGAATCAATTGTGCTGGTATTAAACAATCCTAGAAATCCACCGCCCGAGTTTGGTGGGATTTGAAAACCAACAGGAGCAAGAAAGAAAGCAAGCCCCTAGCCATAAGGGGTACGATTTTGAGTGTCAATGATGAAGGAGAAATGAGTAGTGAAGTCAGCTACTTTCCCTGAGTGCGAATCCCAGATAGGAACAGGCTCTGAATAGATAGATTGACCAACCTGATAAAGATAATCAACATTGTTGAATTCAATTTCTCCAACTGAAGCTATTGCATCTCCTCGATAGAGTATGGCGCTTAAATCAGGAGTAAACCGAGTTATCTGAAATGAAACGGCATTGGCCAAGCAAAGAACCTGGAAGTAGGGAATCAAGAAAGCAAATCTATTGAATTCAGTGGCCATGATGGACTCTACTGTATGAGCAAAGTGCTAGACTGCTAGCTACATAGTATATACTTCCATGAATGTAATGATAATATTATATAAAGTGTATTATTTGGTCAAAGTCTTGGGATTCAAGTTTCAACTATCCAACATTCTGTATTTTCTCGGATGATCTTTTTACCTCTGTAAGAACCGGCCAAGAAAGAGAAGCAAACTATAAAGATTGACTCGAATTTCTAGAGAAGTCAAGTGATGATGTTCTCAAATGTACAATTAGAATAACTATTTCGGCTTTTTTATTTACTTTTATCTTATCTTTTTGGGATGTCAGCAGAAAACAAAATCAGATCCCATCAGCACTCTCGAGAGTCAACGAGTGTCTTGTTATTATTTACATTTTAATTTTCTAATAATTCAACTTGGTTTGGTTTAACACAAGTGTAAATAATAACATGACACTTGGCGCAATACTATTAGTGACATTGGGTTGGCATAGAAAACATGTCACCGAGAATCCCAAGTGCGCTGCATGTATTCTGCTTATGTATTGACACTCATATATATGACTAATACGAGTAACGTGGAGTATTTTTATTGATCAAACACTAACTGCTCCACTTGCTATGTGGTTGCTTTGAGCCTAGACAAAATTTGTTGGTATTAACATAAGAACATAATATGGTATAGAGATGCAACCTAACGGCATTATTAGTTCCAAGCTCTAATTAATTCTCACCCAAAAAAGAAAAAAATAAAAAATAAAAATTTCTAAAGGCTAATAGTGTCAATCCCATTTTTAATCATTACACTTTGGACTGGACTATGTTGCCTTCCCTAGATGCGTCATGGATGTATCCAAAAATTAATCGGTTGAAAATTAGATGAGCAAACAGGTTTTTGAGAACGAATTATCTACATGTGATCATACCAGCACAAATATACCAAGATTTTATTAAAGTATTTGAATTGAAGTTAATTCTTTTTTTTTTGGAATTGGTGATTCTTTGGAAAATTCTCGAGTTACACCCCATTCTTTGAAGGGATCAAAGAAAGAGTTATCTAAATGAGTTGTTAATTTTAGTTGAAAATATAATCATAGTTGGAATGAAACTGTGATGAGAAAATAGCATCGACTCTTTTAAGGTCACAAACAAAAGAAAAGAGAAAAAATTTTAAAAATTATTACATGTTTATGAGCATACTTTTCAACAGCACATTTTTCTACAAAAACTCAAAAAAAAAAAAAAAAGAACAATCCAAACGGATTTTAAGAATTCAAGAACCAGACAAAGGGTCTGTTTGGTAAACAAGTTTTTGATCGAGTTTGTCTGCTATAAATTTTTTAACAATTTTAACTACAGTAATCTTAAAAAATTTCACAAAATTTTTAAACTATACATTTCAAAATATCTAAATATTTACATGCTTTAAAAAATGAATGAACGAGCCTACAGAAAATATCTCCAGGAATCAGGTTTGCATACGGGCTATCTGTATTGTTTTTTCGTCTTTGCTCTTTGAATCTCAATTCCCAAACTATCAAGTATTGAAGTTACAAACAAAGAGAAACATTTTTCAAGCACAGACAAGTTTCCCTTCACTCGGTGGATGGGCTTCACAAGTTCCATTTCCCACAAGTTTGTCCTTGGATCATCTTTTGAAATGGAATTTATGAGGCCCCCATCCGCATACGGCAGCAAGGAGCGAGGAAGTTTTTGTATACTTTGCAGGAAGGAGAAGCATCCACACATGACAGGAGCCATGTCATAGATAGCTTCACGTCAAGCCATGGTTTAACAAGTCTCAAAGCTTTGATTTCAGACCACACGCCAGCTGATTTTAAGCATCCCTCTTATTTTTGCCCTACGGAAAGAATTAGCCACTCACCACTCGATCAATACTTTTTTTGCAGATCCCACCGATCTATTTGCAATAATTCCTCCTCGACTCCAAAAAATCCACTGTTTAGTGTTGTTTTTGAATATGTGTATAATGTACAATTTAAATGCTCCACCCTTCAATTTGATGAAACTCTTAACTCTGTCGCATACCCAAATCTATGTTAACGTGGTGATACTTAAAAAAAAAAATTTTTTTTCAAAAACTTTGTAAAGTAATAAGGACCAGTTTTCGAATATTCCCGTCAACAAAGTCTGTCCATGTAAATATATTCGAGGACAATGATATGTCAAATTGTAGTAACTACAGTGTCTGATTGTGAATCTAACAATAGCTTAGGAAGTGTTAACAATAGCATTTTGGTTGGAAGCTTAAGAAGTGTTGCCTCAAAATTGAGGACTTGAATTGTTTGTTTTATGGATGGCGCCTAAGACTGCTGTTCGGATGAGCACACCACAGGCCTGATATCAACAAACACTCGACTTGTTTGAGATCAAAATCATTGTTTAACCTCCTATCCACAGCTGATGAAACTTTCCCCGATCCATACAAGTCCCAAACCCATTCCAGGAGTCCTGTTTCAGATTTTTCGTGAGTCGACATTGGATCGGTTGAAGACTTCCTTCCACTACCAATTTCTAAAGCGACCACCCCAAAGCTATATACATCGGACTCCTTGCTAGGCCTGCCAGTGCTTACAAGCTCAGGGGCTAAGTAGCCAAATGTTCCGGCCAAACCTGTCGATCGTGGTCCTAGTTCATGGTCCATAAGTCTAGCCAAGCCAAAATCTCCAAGTTTGGCACTACAACTTGAATCTAGCATTACATTGCTTGATTTGATGTCCCTGTGTATCACATATTGTCCCCACTCTTCATGAAGATACAACAAAGCAGATGCCAACCCGAGTGCTATTTTGTATCTCTGACTCCAACCAAGAACATTGTTCCTGCCAAATAGATGAGTATCTAGGCTTCCATTTGACAAGAATTCATAGACAAGCAAGAACTCACCTTCATCATGGCACCAGCGATAAGCTGGACAAGATTTCGATGCCTCAAACTACTTATGATCTTCACTATCATGGCACCAGCCGATAAGCTGGATAAGATTTCGATGCCTCAAACTACTTATGATCTTCACTTCAGTTACGTATTGCTTTTTCCCCTGCTTAGAACTCCTTGAGAACTTCTTCACAGCCACTGCAATATTCAAATCAACTAGTTGACCTTTGTAAACCTTTCCAAATCCTCCCTCACCCAACTTTCTCTCGTTGGAGAAATTATTAGTAGCTGAAGCAAGATCTTCGTAAGAAAACTTTTTTGCTCCTGGCCCCCCTTTCTAAATCATCATTGGTAGAAGTTGTCGAGTTGGCAGCCATTTCCAAATTGGCCATAGCAGATTGTTTGTTTCTCCTTAAAGCTTCAATTACTATTAATCCACCCACAATCAAGATTGCTCCAGCTGCTGTTAAGTCTGCAACTAATCCAATTTTCTTTGCTTTACTCCCACGTGTCTTTGCTATATCGAGGTTCGAGCTAAACTCCCATGATTCAAGTATATGTCTTTCAACATACGGACCTGTGGCAGCTAAAAATCCAACTGCAGCCCATTGAGGAAGAATCTCCTTCAAATTTATCTGATAAGAAATACTAGAGTCAGGACTTGATCCATAACTCCAGAAAACACTCAGATTTTCCGTAGAAAAATTGTAGATAATCCAAGCATTAGCAGGGTCTCCCCTGCGCAAGCTGGCATTCTAGGACGTGGTTATAGAGGAAGTAATTGAATTATTGTTGATACTAACATGTTCAAAAGGAGGATCCCATTCTGGATTTGCAAACGAATCAAATTCAACCGAAACTATCTGGTTGTCGGAGGAATCACTTGTGCTGGTATTAAACAATCCTAGAAATCCACAGCCCGAGTTTGGTGGGAT